GGGGAATGGGGGGCAGAGGAGGAATGGGGGCGGGCAGCGGAGGCATGGGGCAGCAGCGGAGACACAAGGGGGCAGCAGAGAAGGACCAGGACAGCAGCGGAGGTAGGGGGGCAGCGGGGGAATGCAGTCACAGCCGTCTCTCCTCCCCGCTGGTGCTAATAGAACATGAGTCAGCTACAGTGAGGCAAAAGCCTCTCTGTGTCACTGAATACAAGTACAAGGGAAGGGTGGATCTACCTAACCATATCCTACAGCCCTACCTTGTCTGGTATAAAAAGGTTCTAATATACCTAATCCAGGTGTCCCTCAACAACTCATTGTGTTCTATAATCTGCTGGTACAGACAGCTTTCTACAGTACTAAGAAAACATTCTAGAGCATTTTATGCTTTAGCAAGACATACTGCAAAGTCAGAATATGTTAAGAGACTCACAGAAAGGCATTTTTGGTGCTCCATCTACTCTATATTAACCTTCAGAAACCCAACAAAGAGGTGCCACATGCACAGGAAAAAGGGAAAAATATGTAAAACATGCTATCGTCCCACCTGTCGATCCAATCCAGGTGTGTGTGTGTCTACCCTTGTAATGAAATCTACCAAACTGTTCCACATTATTAAAAACCTGCAATTATAGTGAACTCCAAAGGAAGAGGGCTTAATTTTTGTCTTATTTAATTTCCCTTGTATTTCCTTTTTATATTATTAATATTAATTTAATATATAATTTATATAACTACAGCAGTTAACGTAACGCTTTGCAAGGGTTTTGGTAAACCCTTAAAAAATAACATTTGTAGGGGTGGGGTAGGGGTCTGTTTTCCAAAGGGAAACATTGTAGGGCAACAGATTCACACTGCAAAGTATCTGTAATGTATGTATGATACCTGATAATTAGATGTGGATTACTTGCCTTCTTTGAAGGCAAAATGCGCACTATTGTTTCTGGGCCCTACTATGGGTGCAACTAACAAATAATGCATGTAAGAAGTATCCACATGCATGTTAGGAAAAGGATCATTTATGGTTATTTTTTGGTGGGGAGTTATAGTAATGGCAAGAAATATATATAAAGTTAAAAAAAAGTGATATGTAATAATTTATGTGCATTGTGTATCCATTACAGCTTAACCTTTCCTTAACTCTGTTACCAGTCATACATAGGCTCTGTGCTAATCTCTGTTAACCCATTTAAGCAGATGCCTTATTTCACAGATCGAGAAATTGACATATACCAAGGAGCTGTAAGTTTCCCAGTCTACATAGGTTTTTTCTGTCATCTGAGAACATTAGGCGTTCTACATGGTGTCCCCCCATACTATTTGTTCCATAATATACTTGTTTAAGATTTACTTACTGAATGCAGCCATTATATGTATGTGTGTTGTTTTGATTTCGTTTTTGATATATGATTGGTGACACGGTTGATACCCAGGACAGTTTATGTCATGTGTAACCAATTTTAGCATTTCTACAACTAATAAATATATATTTTTATAAATACTTTTTGTTACACTGTTTGAAGGAATGGTGGGATCCCCTTTTCTGGGGAAAAACTTTTATTTTGTTTAAAGTTAAAAATAGGGGACCCTCCTTCAGAACACTTTTTTCTCTTCACTAAACCTTCCTTTCCCCAAGTATTCGCTTTACAGTCTACATAGTCCTATGTTAAAAAACAGTGCTTATAAATTAAATGTATCTTTTTTTTATTTATTGTGGTTGTTCATCAGCAGTGCAGCAGTACAGTATGTTTTATTTTGTCTGTTTGTCATTGTAGTATGGAGATACTCAATACCTAAATACAGGTTTGAACAATAGTTTATGATTATTGTTTGATACCCTCAATATGGCTGTACTGCAAATAAGAAAAAAAAACACACACAAGCATTTCCAATGCTAGTTATCCATTACTACAGGTTTTGAGTATTTATACCACAATACACTGACCAATCATGTCTATTAAACTGTTTTGTAGAAATGCCTCTTTGTATGTGTGTCTACCCTTAAAGTACCATGCATACAGGGTGTCCATCTAATTTCTGTGATTTTAAAAGGTTAGAAAAGCAGTAGGATACAAACAACTGTAAAGCCGGGAATACACAGTTCAATTTTTTTCATTCAACCTGCGAGCTGAACGAAAAAAAAAAAATAGAACAGATACCTCCATCCAAGCTGAACAGCATGTATGAACTGTTTGCATTGTATTCTGAGAACAGCCACCGGCCGCTGTCAGAATACCCAAATGGAGCTTGCAATGGAGTTTTCCAACCTGGTTCTACAATCAATTGAGCGAGGGATACTGGGTGGAAAGGTGACAACAGTGGCACCCATTGTGTGAATTTTGGCCGGTTCATTAGGAACCCACCAAAATTCATGTCGTGTATACCCTACTTTAGAAATAGCCGAGGCACAATACATTTGGATTGGGGAAAGTCTGGTCCAGCCAACTTGTCTTTTATCTGCATCATCATCTCCAAGATAAGCACGGAGATGTGATCCACACATACCTGTAGGCTATGAGTATTGGTGTGTGTGTGTGTGTGTGTGTGTAGAAAAAAAACACCTGTTATCAAATAATTAGGTAACTTTTCTTCTTCTGATAATTACCATAGCTTGTACATTTTCCTTTATCTGACATTTTAAGCATAAAAAATTGCAAATATCAACTAAAATGGGGATCTTGGGCTTAAAAATAAAGGAAGACTTTTAGTTTTAAGTTTAAAATGTGGATCACAGAAGCCCTTCAGATACATGCTTTTCCTTAATAATTCACATTAAATATAATTAGTACACAGGTTAGTCATGCTTGCATTTTCTAACTAACCAGTATACTCCATTAGCTAACTAAATTTGTACATACTGCCTCCTAGCAAAAAGTAGGATCTAAAGCTTATTTTCTGGCTGTTATTGCTGAATCTGGTTCACTGCTGTGGGGCAACCTTTGTTATAACCAGCCAACTTTTTCTACTTTTGTGCCATCAATATAAAAAACTGTACATATACACACATAATCGTGTGATGGCAGAACCGTCATAAATAGGCATAACATAAGAAACATTTCTCAATCAATGTTTTATTGTTTGGGTTTGGACTTCATTCTCTAACAGCTGTACCAGCCTTTCTCAACCAGGGTGCCTTCTGGCCTTCCCAGGGGTGCCTCAAACTTTTTACAAATCGCCATACCTCTCCATGTTGTAGGCAGGATGACCACCAGCACCATGGAAACAAATGACGCTAATCCAAGAAGGGTGGGATCCATTCAGAAAAGGATGGAAGTTCACCTACGTCCAGGCCTGCTCCTCCTTCCTCTCTCTACCATGTTGCCACAGCTCCTGCTCCTGATGTGAGGGGGGCACTCTGATGTGAAAGGGGGGACACTGATGTGAAAGGGCTATCTCTGATGTGAAAGGGGGTCTTCTGATGTCAAAAGAGCTTGTGATGTGAAGGGAGGCTCTGATGTAAAGGGGGGTCCCTAGTGTGAGAGGGGGCTGCGGTTGTGAAAAGGGGGACTTTGATGTGAAAGGGGGGATTACAATGTAAAAGGGGGGCTCTGATTTGAAGTGGGGAAACCAACTTTGTGTTTTTGCATGGGGTCTCCCTAAAATCCATACCAGATCCCTATCTCATATAATGGTCTGCTATGGATTTTGTAGCAACCACATGTTGGTTTTTTTTATAAATTTTTACAAATAAGTCTTTTACATTTTAGAATGGGTGCCTTGAGTTTTTGCATACTTTTAAAGGGTCCCGTGACTGAAAAAATGTTAGGAAAACGCTGAGCTATACCTCTGGACAAATATATATTTTAGTTGGTAATAGTTTACCAATGTCACCTTAATAAGCTGTAGTCAGTTATCTGAAACCTGAGCTGATAGGCAGTGCCAGGAACCCCCTTATGAAAATGATGGCTGCCTGCCTGTCCTGCTAATCCAATGCCTTCAATACCCACTGGCATACAGACCAGGAACAGGTATGCACCTTAGGAATTCTGACTTCACATGCTGCATGCATGTTTGTGGACAATGGGGTTGATCTACTAACGGCAACTATGTCCCTTTGTAAGGCAATTTTCCTTTTAGCTTGGTAAATGAGGTGACGTTTTGCTAGTTTCCATTATCCAAACATGTGCAAGCAAAAATACTGTTGTTTTTTTTATTATTTGCTTGCAAGTGATTGGGTATTCTTTTCACTAAGCTAAGTGAAAATGTCTTTGCAAAGTAATCAGCCTATTTTCCTTTAGTAAATTAGTAAATCAGCCCCAAATGACTTAAACAGTATTGATGCCAAAAAACAGGCAAGCAGCTAGCTTTTTCAGAAGAGGTTAGCAAAGGCAGCCTGCAAAATTCCTTCAGTGCAGGTCTTCTTTTGGCAATATTAACAGATTTATACAAACTTGTTTTTGTTCTCAGGCGCAGTATGAGAATCCTCCCCATATCTATGCATTAACAGACAACATGTATCGTAACATGTTGATTGATAGTGAGAACCAATGTGTCATCATCAGGTGAGGATATGATTCGGTGTCTGTTTAACATAATTAACTTTCCAATCTCAACCATTTAAATATTTTTTTATTGCTATCATCCTTACAACATAAAGTCATTTGAATCTTCAGTTTAAATCATCTAAATAAATCCCAGGTGCACCAAAACAAAAAGGTATTCAAGGTCTTGTCATTTGTTTTATTTCTAAAGCAGCCTGAATAGAACAATCTGTCCCCTGTCAGCAGCTGCAGAGAGTCTTGCTCCCTGTGTGGAAGCAGTGGTCTCATTGAAGAGTTCTGACATGCCTCATACTGAGTCACACATATACCTCTGTTGATTGGAGAGCTCAAGCTCTGACTCAACAGGAGGCCTGTTAGACCCCTGTAAAGAGATCACTACTTTGCCATGAAGAGCAAGGATCCCACTCTGCAACATGCTGGCAGGACTCATGCTTTTCTACTTATGTTGTGGCAAATTGTTTATGAAAACAAAATGTAACATGCTACACACTGTATGCATGCACTTTGGATGTATTTAGCTAATTTAAAAGAGAACTATGGCCCAACATTTTTTGCCATAGTTCTCTTTAGGGTCACAGGAGGACATACAGTATTACTAATGTTCTCAGCATATAGCGGCCTATTGCCAGCTATATGCTGACAGCGCAGAGCCGCACTGCAGGTGGGGCGGATCCCAACAATATCATCGGGATTCACCCCGCTACTTGATTGACAGTTGGCTCTGTCTCTCTAGAGGCCGAGCCAGCTGTGCCCGCCCCCACCCCTGTTTGACCCTCCAATTAGCGCTGGAAGAACAGAGAGGGGAGGGTGGAATTCCTGCAGGGAGCGGTGACTGACAGTCTCTCTGTAGGAAAATGAGCGGAACTGAGCAATCGGCAGTATGTGATTGCTCAGTTCTCGATCATTAGAGCTGACGTGTGACAGCCTCAGTGTCACACGTCGACTCTAATTATGGGGATGAGTGTATTTCACTCTCCCCATAATTCTCCTTTAAATTGTATATTCAGTTCGGCTTTAAATGTATTTTTTTTTAAATGCAACTAGTGTAAGTACCTGAACTTGACTTGATATCGGAATCTTGTACTCTCCTGTACAGCAGAATGCAGAGAGGGCGAGGGCAGGGCTGACAGCCAATACAGTGCTGCTTCACACAAATGGAACACGACGATAGGGGGAAAGAGCAGAATGAGCAGAGAAATGACCTCATCAGTCTGCTGCTGCACATTCACTGTCCAGTCAGCAGGCAGGGGGTGGAGAGGGGATACCACTGTATATCTTCTAAAGTCTAAAGCTGTAACAATGGTGTTGTCTACCTGGCTGTGCTGTGTGATAGAGTTGTGTAAATCTCAGGAAAGGATAGACAGAAAAACATATCCTTTCATAGGTAAAACTTAGATATATTTAATCTGTGTATTTAGTTCTGTGCCTTAAAGTGACATTAAGCCCTCAGATTTTTTTTACATAAAACAATACTATAATGTGTGCCTTAGTGTAATCCATGGTCGTATCCCTTCTCTTTGCTGGTCTTCCTTTTAAATCCTTATCTCTTCTCATGCTGGGGGAGAACTTCCGTTTTGCAGCTGACTGCCTCTTCTCTGGAATGTTACATGGTGTCTGTGTGCGCGCTCCCGACCTGAGCCAGGATGCAGGCAGCAGCTGTTGCCAATCTAACGTGGGCGGGGATGTGGATGTCGGTCGGACGTCATCCTGTAGTCCTGGCTCAGGTCGGGAGCGCGCACACAGACACCATGTGACACCAAGGAGCACAGACACCAAGGAGCCACCATAAAACAGGATATAAGAGCCAGTATTAAGGGGACCAGTTGATTCTGCAGGAAACTAAAACTATTAAAAAAGTTTTTAAAGAAGTAGCATCCATTGAAAGTGGTTTCATCAGCATTTGAAATAGCATGAAAACCTTTTGAATTTAATAGCACTAATCTAAATGTCTCATTTCACTATTGCTATTTCAGTGGTGAGAGTGGAGCAGGAAAAACTGTGGCTGCTAAGTACATTATGGGCTACATATCCAAAGTGTCCGGAGGAGGAAGCAAAGTGCAGGTATTATTGAATCATTATCAGGAATTATGTTGCTGTAATATCAAATTTGGATTTATTTTTCAATTATTTTTCATGGAAAACATGAACACATATTTGACAGCACTGCCAATAAAAATTACCCAAGGTACTTGTAAATTATTGCTACATGTAATATAGTGTATACTTTATAATATAACATAGTAATATAGTAACATAGTAATATAGTATAGTAGTACTATATAGTAGTATAGTATAAAGCTGAGGGGCACTGCTTTTCTATATCATTTACCACTCAGTGATATAGAATATTGACAGCATTCATGACAAGGCTTTTCTTTCATGGTGATCCTCAGGTCTACGCATCCCTGGAATTCGGATTTCTGTTCATGATTGGTGCAAATGGTCAGATGTACGTAGTAAATGATATTATTGAATATACTCGGCACTACAAAGCTACAGCTAGTTTAAAAACAGGAATTCAAGAGATTTAGTGCCATATGCAGTAAGATATTAATTTCAGAAAAATGTTAGGTGACAAATTAACCTACCAGAGACTTTTATTTAGCACACCAATGTGTGTGAATGCATCAAAAGGTTTGACGACTACAGAAAAAAAATGGCTGCACAGAATTACACACAGGGCCAGATTTCCCACAAGGCCAACCGTGGCCCAGCCTCGGGGCGGCAGGAAGCAGAGGGGCAGCAGGGGTGTGGAATCTCCTGACGCCAAGGACTTGCAGTTCCGGGCACGGGTAGTTGTTTTCTACATTTAGCCCTGCTTTGGGCAAGCAGGGCTACATGTAGAGCGGGTAAGCTGCTTGTTTGTTTACAAGTGATCTCGGCACATTGAGGAACCTGGCCATGGGGCAGCAGAGAGAGTAAATCCGGCCCTGATTACTTATAACTATATACTATTGTGCTTAGGTTGGACTGGCAATACCTTTATTCATTTTTGCTTGTTATATGACTTATGAGAGCATTATTGACATACCGTATTTTTCGCTCCATAAGACGCACTTTTTTCCCCCCAAAAGGAGGGGGAAAATGTGCCTGCGTCTTATGGAGCGAATCCCGACGCCCGAGACATGCAGTTTCGGGCGCCGGGCGAGTAGTAGGAGGCCTGCTCGGCTTTAATACGAGTGATCTAATGAGATCACTCGTATTAAAGCCGAGCAGCGGCGGCGATCGAGTTCAGCAGTAGGAGCCACTGCTCGTTTAATACGAGTGATCTAATGAGATCACTCGTATTAAAACCGAGCAGCGGCGACGATCGAGATTACCATAGAGTAGACGAAGAACGGACGTTCTTCGTCTGCTCTGTGTGATCACTGAGACCGTGGCGCTGTAATCACAGCACCACCTGTCTCAAGCGGTCACTAACTGCAGCTTCTGTCACAGCTTCTGTCATAGAAGCTGTGACAGAAGCTACAGTCTGTCAAGTGCTCCATAAGGCGCGCCGGACCTCCTGCGTCCTATGGTTCGGTGCGTCTTATGGACCGCAAAATACGGTACTTATACTGTTGTTAATGGGAACCTTTACTGAGAAAATAAGTAGGGTGCCATTACTAAACTACTCTCTGAATAACTGACCTAGAACAGAGGCAGATTGGGAGTTCTGACTGTGTTAGCAGGATGTTTGTTCCATGACCATTATTCAAAGTACTATGGTAAGAGACAACCAGGCAGCTAGCATTTTCAGACTTAAGTTAGCAGTAGCAGCCTCTAGTTTATGTAGTACAAGTCTAGGTACAGGTTGGACATGGAAAAGCGGCAAAGGTCTCCTGTTGCCATGAAGAAATAAATGGAATAATCCTATCACTGAATATCCATTAAAATGTCTGATGAGGCTGATCGCTACAGAAATAAAGCAAATAATTTCATGTCACATAGCGCTAATATCAAGAAATAAAAACTTGTGGGTTTTATAACATCTAATCGACATATATGAGGAGATCTCTCAACTTTGTGATCATATACAGCCAATAGCCATTGATATGGACATATACAGTATGTTATATTGAAGCCAGATGTGCCCTAAAATCACTGGTATAGATTTATTTCAAAGGTTTACAGCATTGACATACACACTCTTGTGCATGTGTATACATTAGGCAGGCAATCCTACTGCCAACACAATCTCAGGCACCAATAGCTGTTGGTCAGGATAATGCAAACCAACCAACACACTTGTCGGTCACCCCAAGATCAGTTGGCTAGGGTTGTATACTAAACCTCCCAACTGCCACCGAGTCCTGCTGAAATTAGCATTTTCTAATATGTATGGGTTAAATTATAGTATAAATGTAAATTGTATTGTATCTTCCTTCACCCATTTTTGTTTTCCAGCACGTAAAAGACATCATTCTCCAGTCTAATCCTCTTCTTGAAGCATTTGGCAATGCGAAGACAGTCAGGAACAACAATTCAAGTAGATTTGTAAGTTTTGCAACATTGTATCAGTGACTGATAAAAAAATAAAAATAAAGGAGATTTTTCAGAACAAATTCAAATCCCACTAATGTACTGTTAATGGGAATTGCTTGTTACATCCAAGATTACCATCCAGCAATGGATCCAGCAACCGTTACACAGGAGCTGGTGCTAATTTGGAGCAGGGTTATTACTGTGTGTAGCACTTTCCTCTTGGGTTGGTGCAGGATGACCTCCTAAGTGATGAGACAGGTTGACATTTCAGCATTGCCTAACGATATGTCCCCCTGCACTCCTTACAGCATCTAGGACCAATAACAATGGTGGTGCTTGTAGTGATAACCACGGATGGCGGCGTGTACGTCAATCAGTAGGAAACAAGGATTACTAGCACTCAGAAGATGATGTCCAAAATTTGGTGTTCATTTATTCAAACACATCGTCACATATATCACATAGCCAACGTTTCGGGGCCGCACAGGGTCCCTTCCTCAGGGCAACATAGTGACAATAAATATGTAGCAAAAACCAACATATATACACCTCTAGGCACACAAAATGAGGCTTAAGCACCTCCCCATGAAGTCATGATGATGTCAGGATCCACCATAATTTGAAAAAATAAAAGTGAAGAATAACACAGTACATAGAAAAGTGATGCATACCAGATAATCCTACAAATATCAAAGCTTGAACACAGAAATGCTATATCTGGTATGGGAGCTGAAATTGCTGGCATGAAGACTGCAAAATGTTAAAACAAAGGAGCAGGTATCTTGTCAGGCGGAGAAAAAACCTAACAGTACCGTTATGGAAGACCGCGTCACCGGTAGCTATGCCAACGCTGTAGCGTGGATTTGGAGCGCAGCATAATGTATTACCCGCCCGGGGATCTGACTGAGCATGCGCGGAGACCCGGCCTCAAAGGACGCTAGATAGGTTGTCCACTAAGTAAAGGAAAGAAACTAAAATGTTACAGAGCCAATATCAGGATAATCAGGAGCTACAGCACAGCAACAGCTAGTAGTATATGAAGACTAGCCAGGAAATAAATACCATTAGGCAGCATATATGCAAGGGATGGGGTGAACAAAAAGTGCCCCTAGTTGCCAAGCAACGAACGGCTAGCATTATCTAAGTATGCTATTGATTGGGGCAAGGGAGGATACCAAGATAGATAAATGACAAAACAATGGACAGAAACAGTGAAAGAGAAAATAAAGAAAAAATATATACAGGTGAACAACATTTGTAAATACGTAATAAAGTTCAAGCTATATACTGTACATATGAAGGAATGCATGATAGAATGTTATCCATGTAAAAGTGTTACGGTCATATAAATTAATTCAATGCATGGGGCTTATTAAAACATATAAGGCTCAATCATGTAGTAAAGTAAGTAAGTAAACTGTTTACAGTTGTAACAGGGTGAGCCATGATTGGGCAGAGTCATCATGACTTTGCCCAATCATGGCTCTCACTGTTCTCTGTGCCCTGATTGAGCAAAGTCTTGCAACTTACCTGTGGTCAAGTGCAAGGCTTTAGCCAATCAGGGCTCACAAAGCACAGTGCTTTGTGCGGGGTGCGAAGCTGGAAAACAGCCGAACACACGAACTGCCGATGTTCGAGTTGAACTCACGTTCAGCTCCAACATCGAGCCCAACCCTATTCAGGACCATAGGATGTACCGGTGCGTCTTAAACCTTACAGAGGATCTTTACCCATATCTTTGAAAAGGCAATCTACATACAGAAACTTATAGAATATTGCAGGCTTTTAATTATTTGCATACCTTATTTTTTGTTTCCTCCCCATTCTTCTCATAGTGGCCATTTTTACTAAGGGCAGATTAATATATCTCCCTTTACTTCCTGGAACTCTGGCACATGTGACTAGGACATGTGACCATGCACATCCTCTCAGGGGAGAAAAATGCCTTTCCCTGAGATCTTGTGAGATTACAGATGAGATTTCCCAGCAATGCTCTGCTGATGTAATCTTCCCAGGATGCATCACTTTGGGCACATTACATCACTATTGCCCCAGAGGACCAGGATATGGGAAAACAATAATTGTAAGTAAAATAAAATATGTTTGTTTAACTAATGAATGTAAGCGGATGATTTCACATCAGCATACAGAGCTGCATACTGATATGATTTTTAGTGAAAGGGGGTAAAGGTCCAGTTTAAGTGGGTGTATCAAGATTATGACTGCATCTGCAGCCACGATCCAGATAACATTGTTCACAGGTGAAGGGCTTTTATGTACAACTGATCTAGGCAGCTGTGGTAAAGGCCTCCAAAGGTGCTGCCCCCTGCGGACTAAACATACATGTGAGAGTATATGGCCAGTTGTATCTACAACTACTCTATGGCAACAAGCAGAAATTGGGGTGTCTATTTTGCAGTAGGGAAGATGCAAAAAGATCAAAAGATAGGTATTCCCTGTATATTGACTATTTGCAGCAATACAATATCTGGGTGATATGTCATAATAATAATATTGATAATAATAATAATTCTGTAATCACTGGAGCAACACATCTATGAATTTCACCTATGACACTTTGGTTTCTTATGACAGGGTAAATACTTTGAAATACAGTTTAGCCGTGGAGGGGAGCCAGATGGAGGCAAAATCTCAAACTTTCTTTTGGAAAAATCCCGTGTTGTTAACCAGAATGAGAGTGAGCGCAGTTTTCATGTATTTTACCAGGTAAATATATAGAACAGTGTGGAAACTAAAAGAATGTTTATGAAATATTGTTTATTGCTGTGTGCTATAGTAAATGTATGTGCTTAAGCATGTGTAAAATAAAGTAACTCATAATAACCAGCAGCTACCAACCTTCTGGTAACATCCGGCACAACCCCTATCCCCGCCGAAAGTTCTTAGGCTCTGCACCGCTCTCTCCTCCACCCCTTCCCGCCAGCTCCATGCTCCGATCTGCGTCCCCCCTAATCACTGCTGCTCTGTATCGGCAGAGGCAGCAGGGATTGGAGGAGGCACAGACCGCTGCAGCCGGTGGGGGGGTGAAGGAGAGAACAGTGACAGTCAGGATGCCGAGCAGTGAGGAGAGCCGCTGTCAGGATGGAGAGCAGGGCAGTGCCAGGCCGAACTTCAGGATGCCGAGTGGAGGATCGGTAAATATGTGCAATATTTACCGATCCTTCACTATACTGAGCAAACACTGGAGTGATCAGTGCTGATTATTCCAGTGTTTATAAATAACTGAGCACATAGTAAGTGATGTCCCCAGTTGGTGTTTGTGTTGTGATAAAATGATACAGGCGTATATTTAATTGCAACACAAGGTATCACAACGCACGGTATACACATTTTTAATGTATTAATTTTTTTTCTTTTACATTTATGTTTATATATATATAGATATATATATATTTTTTACTGTTGGGGGCTATTGGAGTGATCAGACGATCACTCCAGTGTTTGTGCTGCACGGAGGATCAGTACATATCACTGATATTTACCGATCCTCGGCTCGGCCACGCATCCAGCCGCTATCATCCTCTGCCCACCGCCGGCCATTTGTTTTTGGATCCCTGCTGCCTCAGCCCATATAAGTGGGGAAGAGCAGCTGGGATCCATGGAGACACAGTTACCTCCAGGCAGGGAGGAAAGGATAAAGATGCCGGCGGCCGGAATTTTTGTTAATAGCTGTCATCAGTGGCTTGTCAGCCGCTGATGACAGCTATTAAAGGGGACAGTCCGGGGAACAGTTCTGATATAAGTTCATGGTCTCTAAAGTGACCATGAGCTTATAGCAGCACGGTAAATGCCACCGACGTACGGCATACTAACTATGCGTTTTGGGAACAGTTTTGTTCCGCTGTATGCCTTTCGTCGGTGGCAGGGAAAGGGATTAAAAAAGAACATTAAAAAATTAACCCGTACTGCAAGGGTTAAGTGCTTGTTTTGGTCTAGGGGCTAATATAAAAATAGATACACTCACCCGATCGTTGGTCCCACCTGGCTGCTAGACCAGTCCCCGCATACTCTTTCCCTGGGCTCTAGCAGTCTAAGGACGTCTAAGGCATTCCATTGACATCCATTAGATGTGAGGATGCCAAGGGACATGCCACAGCCGGAGCAGAGGGAGAGAGATAGGTGAGCAGGGATCAAGGAACGAGTGAGTATGTCTTTTTTTATTCTGGCCCCTAGAGAAAAAAAAACGAGCACTTAACCCTTGCCGTTCAGGGGTAGCCCCGTTGCCAGGGTTAATTTTTAAAATGCCTGGAGTTCTTCTACAGTATAAGCAGACCCTTTGTTCAACCACGATTAGGAAGGCAGTGGAAGAAAGGGTGAGGGATGCGATGCCAAATGTCTGAAGCCAATGCTATAAGCAGTATCAATATTGTCAGCATATTTTTATCATGTTATATCAAATTATACCAATAATTTTTTTAGCTTTTAAAACGGTAGTGGTAATACATTGGGGGGAATATCAAAACTGGAGCAGATAAAATCTAGAGCAGATTTGCACTGCAACCAATCAGCTTCTCTATCTCATTTTCTAGTCTTACCTGAGCAAACTGAAGAGAGATGCTGATTGGTTGCCATGGGCAACTGCTGCAGATTCTGTCTGCTCCAGTTTTGATAAATTCCCCCAATTGAGTTTAAGCTACGTATAGTATAGTGAAAGAAAGAAACTGATTCCTTCTCATCTTTTCTAGCTAATAGAGGGAGCTTCACAAGAGCTGAGACAAAATCTGGGCATTATGAATCCCGATTACTATTTCTACTTAAACCAGTCGGATACTTATAAAGTGGATGGCACAGATGATAAAAATGACTTCTCTGAAATGATGGTAAACATTTCTGAATTCTACATCCGAGAATCTGAATGAGCAATTTATGGAATCATTTGAAATTACTTTTATGATTTGTTCTTATCTGGTTTCACTAGAATGCCATGCAGGTCATTGGTATTTCTGGAGAACACCAGCAGATGGTCCTACAGATAACAGCGGGCATCTTGCATCTGGGAAACATCAGCTTCCAAGAACAAGGAAACTATGCCATGGTGGAATGTGCTGATTGTGAGTAGTGCTTTCTCAAATCAATTACCAGTATGTTCTAATTTAAAGAGAAGAGAATATTGTGGCATTCTGAAATCTAGGGGGAAAATAAACCTCCATGAAATTTGGTAAAACTAAACTCTAGGTAGACAACTGATGAAATACATACAGTATATGGGGGCTGTGTTACCTGACAATAGAGTTGCATTTCTGTCCATCCAGTCCTGAGGTATACACAGCTCTGACCCACAGTACAGCCCTGGGAAGAAGAACTGATCTTTCTCTACTGCATTTTCACATCTAGTTGCAGGTCCCTTTCTCACCTCTACTCTGCCACTGAACAGCGACAGGAGAAACAGCACACCAATGAGCTTATTTTTCTGTCACTCTGCTCTCTCCCCCAATCATCATGTTCCTTGCACATGATGTTCTCTTTCTGCTTCTTGTCCCTTCCCTTCTCTTTAACTGTACAGTAGACTACAAATTCAGATGCTTTAATAAAAAAAACCATATAATAATGATGAATTAATGATTACAGAGCTGCATGAACGTTATCTACTCAATGTTCAGCATTACATTATTCTAATTTAACAATCTTACTGTTGCTTAATGTTACCTAATGTTTTTACTGCTTTGGCCATGGGCTGCTGCCCTATCTGAAAGTGCATACCATCTGTCATGTTAATCTCAGGTTTGGGCTATGTATTCCCACAAGGCCACCAAGGCCCGGCATCGGGGCAGCAGGGAGTAGAGTGGCAGCAGGTGTGTGGAATTTCAGTTTTGGCCTGCGGAATATCAGGAGATGTGGCTCTGGGCTGAGAGAGGTTAGCAGGCAGGGAGATATGTGCAGTATATAATAGTAATGTAAATTGGATGAACTGACTGGGCTTGGAATGTCATAATGTGCTGCTAGCTCTTCCCTTGTCAGTGCAGCTAGCTGTTGGAGATGCAACAGCATACAGTACGTGTTTGTGTTGCTGACATTCAGTATTGTCTTTTGAGCACTAGATGGCACTGTGGTGCAAAGCTAGCCAGTATGCTATTTGCCTATATGCATTCTTATCTGTGAAATACAGGACGTTATATCCATATATATGTTTTCTTCTCTATGATCTATATGTTTCCTGTATAATGCTGTATTCCTGTACACAGATGTAATGTCCTTATAAGCAAGTAAAACTTAATTCAGCATTCCTCAAGATCTCAGAGCTTCATCTAAACATAAAACCAATACTAGCAGCACATTAATCCATTCCAAGCCCATAATGTCAGGTGTAAGTGTGTTTTAGCTAGGGCTACGCTGCTTGCTTTAATTCCTAAATGCCTTCCTAAGGTGAAATGTCTCAAAATTGTCTCTAAGTTGTCTCTGTTTCTAAATTGTCTCTAAACTGTTGCAAGCTTGCAGGGAAGCTCCAGGATGACAGCAGAACAGTTCCAAAGTGCTCAGCTGACCTGATGGAATAAAGCTGAATAATTTTTGTGATACTTTAAGAAGTGCTCAGGAAGACTTCTAGAATGTGCAAAAGTTTGGAGGTCATTTACTGTCGTAAATGCTGAATGCAATTAGTGTACAGTTGTGAAAATGTCACAAAATGTGCAGTGAGCAGCAAACATAAATACATGTTGCAAGAGCACTTCAAAAAATGCACAAAACTAAAACTTTGCGGTTAGTTAGCATGACATTTGCGCTTTGTAACTGAAAATTTTGTCAAAAAAACATGTTCTTAAATTCCCCCCACTGTATGTTACTGGATAGAGCTGAAATTGAGAGACAGCATATGTTATCAGCACCACATTAGCTGGTAAGTGGGCCAGCAGTTCCACTTAGCTGAGACGACTGACTTTCACAGATGTCAGCCAAGAAAAATGAAGCAGAAAAATCTCTTAGTTCTAGCTATTTGTTATTAGATAGATAGATAGATAGATTGATAGATAGATAGATAGATAGATAGATAGATAGATAGATAGATAGATAGATAGATAGATAGATAGATACATTACAGTATATACACACAGTATATGGGTTAACAGTTAGAATATCATGCCTCTGTCTTATTGTGTTATAGTGCTGGCCTTCCCTGCCTACCTGCTTGGTATAGACAGGGATCGCCTCAATGATAAACTCACCAGCCGCAAGATGGATAGTAAATGGGGAGGACGTTCTGAGTCTATCACAGTGACCTTAAATGTGGAACAAGCCACTTATACAAGAGATGCTCTGTCCAAGGCTCTGTATGCCCGAATGTTTGATTTCTTGGTGGAAGTAAGTAAATAACAAATGTGTAGGTCCCAGTGATTATGTTATAAGATGTTTCAAAATTGATCTGCTTTGTCTCATACACAAAATGCAGTTAGACCACAAAATAGACCTAAACCTGATATGACACTTGCCTATTGTTAGCCCTCTCTCTTCGTATGATTCAACCCAGTAATATTTACTGGACAAGCCACACTGGATTTATTCTGGCTATAATCCTAGGAACCATTCTTTGGTACAGGATGTGCTAATGAATGGCTATACAAGCAGAGGAAGCCAGTCAGTAGCTAAACACAGCAAGTGCCAATAGGACTAGAGTGAGTACAAAGTTTCTGAACAGTAAAATAATATAGGTCTCTATTATATGAAGTGAAATGAAAAACAGAGGAAATAGCTTAGGTTATATATTGAGTTTAGAGTCCACAATCATACTAATTGCCTTAGTATGATGATTAGAAAATCGAATGCAACATTAATTTCACAAATTTGAACAAAATTATTTATAAATATTTAAAGGAGAAGTATTGGGAGAGTAAAGTCTTTCCAATGCTTAGAGGCAGCATGGTACACTGCAGGTGTCACACGTCTACTCTTTTGATTGAGAACTGAGTGATTGCAAACCGCTGATCACTCAGCTCATGGCTTCTCCCTGCAGAGAGTAGTGACTGTCATTCACCGCTCCCCTCAGGGATTCCACCTCCCCTATCTGTTCCTCCAGCGCTTATTGGAGGGACAGACAAGGGAGGAGGTGGGCACAGCTGGCTCTGCCTCTAGAGAGACAGCAGGGTGGATCCTGACAATATTGTTGGGATCTTTCTTGGTTGCAGTGTTGATCCATGCTGTCATCATATAGCGGGCAGTATTAGTAAATGTACTCCTGTGACCCAAAAGAGGACTAAAGCCAAAAAAAAGGTGGCTTTAGTTCTCTTTTAAAGTTGAAATATACAGTATTCCTCCATAGCCACAAAGGCTATACATCCACTTTGTGTGCACCAAATACCCTTGTAAACCCAGATATTACTTTGTAAAAGTAGAAGCGACAGCATCACTGTGCTGTATATAGCCTGTGCAGAGATCAGAGCTGTGGGAAGGTCCGTGCAAGTGCACCCATTACACACTTCCTGCAGAAAACTACAAGAGGCCCAGAAACAAGACCAGTCACCCTACACTTGGAGAGAGAGCAGCAGTGACTGATATAATACAGGAAACTCCTGCACAGAGACAAAGTTTCACAGTGGATCATTGCACATATCTGGAAGAAATGCACAAAGCCCACCAAGATTCAAGTAAGAATACACAGGCCTCTTACAGTACAGGTGAAACTCGAATAATTAGAATATCGTGCAAAGTTCATTTATTTCACTAATGCAACTTAAAAGGTGAAACTAATATATGAGATAGACTCATTACATGCAAAGCAAGATAGTTCAAGCCGTGATTTGTCATAATTGTGATGATTATGGCTTACAGCTCATGAAAACCCCAAATCCACAATCTCAGAAAATTAGAATATTACATGCAATCGATAAAACAAGGATTGTACATAGAACAATATCGGACCTCTGAAAAGTACAAGCATGCATATGTACTCAGTACTTGGTTTGGGCCCCTTTTGCAGCAATTACTGCAATTACTTTTGCACGATATTCTAATTATTCGAGTTTCACCTGTATATTTAGACAATATTTGCTTATCCCAGAGTTCAGCTTTAATATGCCATTGATCTAAACTTTTATTTCTACCTCCTACATTCGGTTAACATTGAATATTTTAGTTTTTTTTGTAGTATAACTGACTGCATGTTCTTTTTTCTAGTCAATTAATAAAGCTATGCAAAAACCCCATGAAGAATATAGCATTGGGGTACTGGACATCTATGGGTTTGAAATATTCCAGGTAAATCAGCATGATTTGAGTTGTTTAGTTATTGCACTTGTGGCTTAAATCATTTGATAAGAGTTTTCTTTATAAATACATGTAATAATAATAATAGTAATAATAATATTAATAATATTAATAATAATACTAGTAATATTAATAATACATCTCCTTCAACTGATTAGCTAGTTATTTCTTGCTGCTCACATGCGCATATACAATATGTAGTAAAAATGAACAGACTGGTGAAGTGTCAGTGTCATTACAACATCACAGACTAGACATTGAGCGTGAATTCATATAATCTACCTTGAATCTCCCCACATCAAACATTTTGGGCACCTTTTAAACACAAACAATGAACTTATCTTATTTGCTCCCTTTTAGTCACTTCAATATACCATTTCAAGGATTTTGTTATATAATTTCAATATGTGCAAAAAAAAATACCCATTGATGGCCAGAATACTTGTGAGATGACAATCTCCTGTGACTGCTGCCCATGCTACACTGCTATTAGTTAGCATTATTCCCAGCTCTCACTGTGGACTGCAGAACACCTTCCCCTATGCCATACAGATAATGATAGGTGTTGTCCTAAAACACTTCTTGTACTAGGTCACCCTAGGGCCAGAAGTGTGTTACTTGCAGGATTACTAGGTGAAATTGAAGTCAGAAAACTCTTACAGCCATCACATCTAAGGACTGGTAAACTGCAATATTTGAGGATAGCACAGTGGCTTAGTGGTTAGCACTTCCACATTGCAGCTCTTGGTCCCCAGTTTGGATCATAGCCAGGACACTATCTGCATGAAGTTTGCATGTACTCCTTGTGCTTATGCGGGTTTCCTTCGGGTAGGCTGGTTTCCTCTTACACTCCAAAGACATGCTGGTAGGTTAATTGCCTCCTGTTTATATTGGCCCTCTATGTATGCATGTGAGATAGGGACCTTAGATTATAAGCTCCTTGAGGGCAGGGATTGATGTGAATGTACAATGTGTGATGTGTTGCATAAATTGACAGTGCTATATAAATACCTAAAATAAATCATTTAGAAGTGGTCAGGGTCAGATTTTGTTCTGTCACAATGCAATATTATATTTTAGCTGAGTGAGGAATTTATGAGTCATGATGTAACCTTGTAATCTATCTATCTCACAATTTGCCTCACTGCCCCTGTTTAGCACTGTTTTGCTGTGCAACAGAATTGATAAATGTCCCCCAATATAAATGTAGCGCTCACCCCCTAAGAAGCCGGTGGAATAACCGGGTCATCACTAGTCTGTCTGGGATTTGATTATGCAGCTGTCCCATTAGCATTCAACCACCCTCTTCTAGTGCCCACAAAGCTGATGTCCACTCCAGTATTGCAATGCTGAATAACTTTTTATTAACCCCTTCATGACTTAGGCCCTTTTTCACTTTTTGCAACCATGTTATATTCCACATTTTAGGCCTGAAAATTACTTAAAACCCCCAAACATTATCGGGTCTATTCACAAAATTGAGTGAATAACCGATCCAAAGCAAAGTGAGTCGAACGCTGTTCGGCTATTCACTTCAGGCTTGTACGGCTGATTTCATCCATATATTGTGTGAATATACCAAGTAACCAGGGGATGCTGAACTGTCAGGACCATGAGAGCTCAGCAGAGTCGGCTTTCATATCACCTCCGGCTCTGCTAAGCTCTTATTGTAATGAAGGGGGGAGAGAGCACCCGCCAGAAATGATCGCAGATAGCAGAGGAAGCAATAGCATCTTTGCTATCTGCAAGATGGGGTTTTTTTTGTATTCTGACAGATGAGAATAAAAAAAAAAGTCAGCATAGGAATGCATAGCTAGATTTCTACTAGCTATTTCAATTTGCAATATCCAATAGCAAGCTGGCTATTGCACCCGCCCTCTGCTGCTGTCAATCACTAGAAGAGGACCTGATGGAGAACTTCAGGTCCCCTCTGCTGATTGACAGCAGTAGTGGGTGGGTGCAATAGCTAGTTTGCTACTGGCTATTGCAAAGTGAAATAGCCAATAGGAATGTAGCTATGCATTCCTATGCTGTTTTCTCTTTATTCCGACTGACGGCGGCCAGCGGCGCCGTCAGAAAAAAAAAAACAGAGCAAGGAAAGGTTTACCATGCCAGATCGAGCAGAGTAAACCTCTCCGGGAGAAAATGTTTCTCTCCTGTGCAGCCGGGAGCCGCTATCTAATAGCGGGAGACTGCCGGAGCATTCGGGAAAGTAATGACAGATCAGCGTCCCTGGTTACCTGGTAACCAGGGGACGTTGATCTGTCTCTGCAAGTAGCCGAAGGCAGCCGTGTGATGACGGCCAGCTTCAGCTTACACCTCGGCTCAGTCGAGCCGAGGCATATGCTTTTGGCTCGACTGAGCTGCTCGGCCAACTTCGGGAGCTGTAGGGGCTATAGTGAATAGCCCGTACAGCAGCCCTTCGGTTCTACTGAACCGAAGGGGTCCTGGGGCCGAAGCTAGCTGAAGAATCAGCCGAAGCTACGGCTAGATCCTTCGGCAGCTTTGTGAATAGACCCCTATAGAATAAAATGGTGGCCGTTGCAAATTTGTATGTTGCACGATATTAGCGCAACTCCTTATCAAACCCCAAAGTGAAAGTGAAAAATGCACTTAAATGCCCCAAAACACAATAAACTACCGATTTGTTTTTAAAAAAATAAAAGATGAGGTTACAACGAGTAAATAGATACCCAACATGCCCAGGTTAAAAATTGTGTGCGTCCGTTAAAGGCCACAAAATTCAGTACCCCAAAAAGTCCATAGACGACGCTTTAAAAGCCCCCACAAGTCATCAGTTTAGAGATACCCAAAAATACTGGCCCTAGGATTATTGCTCTCACTCAACTATACCCAACATGTGTGTCACGTTCGTCGTTTTCCTAAGTAGGTGCCCCCGACGTGTGTTTTCTTGAAGACGCGCATGCTCGTGGGGCGGGGGACTTAAAAAAATTTTTACATTATTTTTACATTTATTTAATGTTAATTTTAAGAACTGTTATTTAATTTCTTTTTACTTTACTTTAATTGCCATCACATGGTGGTGACAGGTAATCTTTAAGGTGATGCTAGGGGTCCAAAAGACCACCAGTGTCACCTTTACACTCTCAATAAGCTATTGAAGTGCAGATCGCACTTCAATAGCTTATAGCTGAGCTTCAGGAGCCCAGCACTGACAGCTATAGGTCCCGGTTCCCATAGAACGGGGAGGGGATCGATGAACGAGGTTTCGTCCATCACCTCCCCAGCTTCCTGCCGACACCAAAGAAGCAACGGAGCCCGGGAAACATGGTGGGGGTGTTGGGCGGGAGGGGGCACCCGTTCACCGGCCGGTAGAAGCGATCTGGCGGCAGCTGAGCCGCCAGAATCGCTTCTGCTGTAAAGCCGGCAGTCGGCTTTACATGTTTAAACAGCCCCGATGCCAGCGTCGTTGGTCGTGAAAGGGGTTAAAACTTCTTCTCACTTAGGAGATAGGGTATAGGGATCCTAGACATCCAGGGTGTAACAGACATAGACTCCAGACTCACCAGACCTTGTTAGCATCTCAGTAAAGATCCACTTGGAGTACAGCAAATAGCAATTGGAGTAACAGATGAGCAGGAAAAGAGTACAAATCCTCAGCAGGAGAGACACCAGCCATGCTCCAGAGCTCCTCTATATTCAAGGCACCTCCAGCGGACATCAGCTTCTCTGGTTCTACTCCTCTGGCAAACAACACAGGCCTCCTCCTTACTGGAGGCCCCAGGAAAACACTTCCCTCATTCCAGCCTCTGCCCACCCCCAGGCCTCAGGACTAGCCTGTGGGGTGGCTGGACAGCATCCAGCCCTAATCCATGGCTGGTCCAGACTAGTCTGAGCACATGGCAATTCCCTCCACTATATGTACCCTATCCCAGCATGCAACACTGGTTGAGAGAAACCCAGTGATTGGCTATTGCACTCTACATACTCTTACAATGTCTCTCATTGGCTGCCCCACAATATACCACCCCATTGGGTACAGTCAATGCCAGACACCTGGAATTAACCAGATAAATACCATTATAATCCAGCCAGGCTGACTACAGCCCTGGCAATCACTAAAAGTCTAGTCGCCACCTCACAAAAGGTGATGGGGGCTACATAGATAAGGGAAAAAAAGACTTTAGTATCCAAAGCTATTTAATTATGTTACAGAGTAAAGAGAATAGTAGGTATTCTCCTATTTATCAGGTGTTCTTCTATTTTCAGGCATATTTTTAGTGTTTTCAATCCTGTAGATGCATACATATTTACAGATATATACTTATACAGAGATCCTTTTTCAACCACCTTTGTAGAATAAACATTGATAAGGATATTGGTCTCTAGTAAAGACAAAAAAAATACAAAAGTAAAATTCATTTATTACAGGTATTTATATATAGCGCCAACAATTTATGCAGCACTTTACATAGTTGCACATTCACATCAGTCCCTGCCCTCAAGGAGCTTACAATCTAAGGTCCCCATCTCACATACAGGGCCAATTTAGACAGGAGCCAATTAACCTACCAGCATGTCTTTGAAGTATGGGAGGAAACCGGAGTACCTGGAGACAGTGGCGTAGGGGGGCAGCCGGTGCGCTGGCCCCGGGCGTAACGCTAAATGGGGGGGGGGCGCTGGCCGCTGGCCGAAAATGGCACTTTTGGCTAAATGCCGAAAGTGCAATTTTTCTGCCATTTTGTCGGCGCAGCCTTGATTTCTTTCCTCCCCGCTGGGCGCTGCTCTGTGTCCCAGCGGGGAAGAGAGAAAGTGACAGCTGGCCGAGTGCTGCAGGAGGAGAGCGCTGTGAGCGGCCGGTGTCTCTCCTCCCACACCGCTCAGACGCCTATCACAGTCCGGCAGAGCGGTGTGGGGGCGGATACAGCCCAGGCTGTCACAGGAGGCTGAGCTCTTCTCCCTGCTCTGCTTGCTCAGCCTCCTGTGACAGCATGTCAGAGAGGAGAACGAGAGCAAACACTCAGCGATCAGTGAACGCTGAGTGTTTGTAGATAATTGAGGATATGGTATGGTTACTATACAGTATCCTCAATTATGTAAATATTTTAAAAATGTGAAAAAATGTAAATAAAAACATGTGTGTGTGTGTGGAGTGTACAGTTCCAGTGGATATTTATATAATGGGGGTGGGGGCGAAATGTTTTTCTGCCCCGGGCGCCCATAACTTTGGTTACGCCACTGCCTGAAGGAAACCCACGCAAGCACAAGGAGAACATGCAAACTCCTTTACCAATGACCTGGCTGGGATTTGAACCTGGGAGCCCCAGAGCTGCAAGGCAGAAGCGCTAACCACTACGGCACTGTGCTGCCCAATAGACAATAGCAAAAAGTTTCCCAGCACACTCACCAGCCAGCATGCAAAAAAACTTGTCTCGCCGCTAAGGTTAAAAACAGAGGTTGAGATGCACGTCTTCTGCAGAAAATGTGAAAGCCGCGCCAAGGCACCTCTATATAGTGCGGTCCTAACTCTAAACTATGAGAGTCTCCATCTTGAAGCACATGTGGCAAATGATCAAATTGTTTGACAGGAGGAAGCCCAACCTCCCTTAAGGGAGGTTGGGCTTTTTGTTATTACTATTGCTATTTTTGCTATTACTGTTTAAAGCCCTTCCATGTGCACCTTGCTGTAAAGCTGGTAACAAATTGATGAGTGCGTTTGTCATTTGCTTGCCCAATAGATAATAATACATAATAAAGGCAGCCTATATAAATAATGGTAGTTCTCTGTGCTTGATGAATGGGATGATGGGATCCATTGACTCAAAGTTATCAGGTGAAGTGCTAGGATTTGGCATGGTTTTCCCAGTGCAGGACAAGTAAGGGCCACAGGAAAGCCATACAGCTCATATCCAAGAGTATTGCTCCTGCCACTATTGACAGGTGTGCCATACAGCCGCGTGTAATTAGCCTGTACAAACCAATGACGGGCTGGCTGAAGACCCATCTGTTTGCCAATGTATCAGGACCTATGCATTTCACTGAACGCAGGGGGTCTGAGTTGAGGGCAGTGCATAGGTCCTTGAATGCATAAAGAAAGTTTTGGCTATAAAAACACTTTAATGCAACTACTACATCTCAGGACTTTTAAGCTGCAATATGTACCATTTTTTGGGGAGGAGGGCTTTAAGTTGCTTTAAGGCCTCATTCACACAGCTAAGTGTCGGCCCTTACAGATCTGTGTGGCGTGCACGACCATATCTGGCCGGTCCCGGGAAGGACAGGTGCTGCGTGTAATTGTAAGCCCGTTCTTCTCAATGGGAGTACGCGGCCGTATGCTCACACGAACTTCTCATCCATGTGGGTGCGGGTGTCCATGCTCAGACGCAGACAAGATCCATCCTGTCTGCATACGAGTACGGATACCCGCACGGATGTGCAGCTCGAGAAGAACAGGCTGCTGCGTACAATCACACGCAGCACCTGTCGTTCCCGGGAGTGGCCCGATACGGCTGTGCACGCCGCATGGATCTGTATGGGCCGACACTTAGCTGTGTGAATGAGGCCTTAGTGTTGGGGGATGCCTTTGTGTTCGAAAGACTTTGAAACATATGTACAGTGAAGGGAACAACATTCTTTATACTTTTTGTCAGTGCTGAAACCTACCAACTAATTAATCTACTAGTCTTCATGCACCCCACTTCATGATTACTTTAATACATAAAGAAAAAATATATTTTATAGCTGTAGCAAAGTTCCAAATAATAAAGGAGAGATATTAAAATATCTAGAGGTTGATATTCTACCATGCACTTTACCACATACAATAGAAGCAATTTGTAAAATCAGTTTTCACAAACTATTAACCATTTACCTTGTCTCTGTTGTACGCAGAAAAATGGCTTCGAACAATTTTGCATCAATTTTGTGAATGAAAAACTGCAGCAGATCTTCATTGAATTGACGTTAAAAGCTGAGCAGGTATTGCATTTTTTCTTTGCTAACTGTACTTTTACAGATAGGGGGGAAGATTAAGGAAAAAAGGAAAAAGTCAAATGTCATAGAGTCTTTTAAATGTACAGGTGCACTGGCCAATAAATGCAAGAACATGAGCTCCCGATCTAGCAGTTAAAAAGTTAGCTAAACCAGTCAGCTCACTCTTTGTCACTCACTTATGAATCGTTTGTATTTTACAGCAATCAAATAAACTGCTTACAAATTTTATATTCAATATCTCAAAAATGTGAGATCATGATATGTAATTACTGTATTAAACTCCATTTAGGAAGAATATGTTGCAGAAGGCATTAAATGGTCCCCAATTGAATACTTCAATAATAAGGTTGTGTGTGACCTCATTGAGAACAAATTGGTGAGTATAACAAGAAACATACAACAAAGAATGCAATGGTGTGCCAAGCACAATAACTGGTAACCACTAGACATGTGCGATTCGTTTCGTTCCGAATCGAAATTCGGACGAATTTTCGGAAATTCGGACATTCGAATGTATCCGAATTCTGAATTACAGACATAACGAATGCAAACGAATCCGAATTTCCATTTCCGAAATTCGGTAGCGGTAGTTCGAACGTTCGTTTCTCTTTCTGTTCTTATTCGTTTCGTTCGTTGGAGCAAAGTGACAATAGAGAAGGAGAAAAATATTTTTCCCCCCTCAAATGTCACTTTGCTGCAAACGAATGAACGAAACGAATAAGAACAGAAAGAGAAACGAACGTTCGAACTACCGCTACCGAATTTCGTCCGAATCCGAATTGAATTCACACCCGAATCCCGAAAAACGAAATAACACAAATCTGAATTTAAAACGAAACGAATTTTTTGGCAGTGCACATGTCTAGTAACCACTAACCTAGCTCATACCCGATCTGATTCCACTGCAGTCTGAATGACTGATGTGACTTTACTTTAAAGCCCATCTCCAGGCAAACCAAAAAGCAACCGTTGCAGAGGAGGTACCCCTGCAATGCAATGATTATGTGCACATTTATTTCTAGGGGACTGGAAAAAGCTGTTTCACTTACGTGATCACCGCTCCTGCTGGGAGTTCCTCTAGGCTGCTAGACTGGTCCCTGCAGACTCTACTTTCCCTGGCTCTGGCAGTCTAAGGACTGCTCATGTCATCATGTCTAATGCAGGCTCCACCGACTGTATTCGACGTGAGGACACTGAGGGACATTCTAGCAACCGGAGTGGAGGGGAGAGAGGTGAGTGCTGACCGCCAGAGCAGTGGGGATCAGGTAAGTTACTTTGCTTCAGTCCCCTAAGCATAAATGAGCAGTTAAAGTGACATTAAACCCTCAGATTTTTTAAAAGAAACCAATACTGTAATGTGTGCCTTACTGTAATCCATGGTTGTTTCCCTTCTCTTTGCTGCTCTTCCTTTAAAAATGTATCTCTTCTCATACTGGGGGAGAACTTCCCTTTGCAGCTGAGTGCCTCTTCCTGTAGTGCTGGCTCAGGTTGTGAACCTGCACACAGACATCATGTATCCATTCCAGAGACAAGGCAGTCTGCTGCAAAACAGAAGTTCTGCCCAGCATGAGAAGAGATAAAGATTTAAAAGGAAGAGCAGCAAAGAGAAGGGAAACAACCATGGATTACAGTAAGGCGCACATTACAGTATTGTTTTATGTTAAAAAATCTGAGGGTTTAATGTCACTTTAACTCCTGCAGTGCGGGGTTAGCCCCACTGCATGGGCAGTACTTTGGCTTACCTGGAGATAGGTTTGAAAAAATTTTCAATATCGTATATATAAGACTGTAATAATAAAATATACATTGTTCTCTTTCCTGCCAGAATCCTCCAGGAATCATGAGTGTGCTAGATGATGTGTGTGCAACTATGCATGCTACAAGTGGGGGTGCAGACCAGACCCTGTTACAAAAACTCCAAGCTGCTGTGGGGACACATGAACACTTTAATAACTGGAATTCTGGCTTTGTTATTCATCATTATGCTGGAAAGGTAAATAGCAATAGATTAGGCCAGTTCAAAGATAGAAATCTAAGTTAGGGAAACTTGCAGTTATATACTGTATGTTCCAGTGGCGGACCTAAGGAACAAAGGGCCCCGATGCAAGATATTTTTTTGGGGAACCCCACCCTAAAAAAAAAACCCACAAACCCCCCAATCCACACCCCCTGAAGCAACCACTAAAAAATAAAGCTGAAAAAATAGAAAAAAAATCGATCTAAAAAATATATATTTGAGCATATTTATTTATTACAGAGAAATCTGAGCACTGTGTCAGTGTAAACAAATGTAACAATAAAATAAATATAATATGCCCAATAATGTGCCTGCAGGCGTCTTCTTTGTCCCCCGGCTCCCTCCTCACTCAGCACACGGCGGTCGGCGGGACCCATAATACCTGGCCGGATGATCCGACACTCACGGCGCAGAGACGGGGGGCCTGCTGGCCCGCCAGATACTGATCCGCTGCTAATCGGCGGCCGGCAAGTCCCACCATCTATGCACAGGAACTGTGCTGGGCCCCCCATCCCCAGGCTCAGGCCCCGGTGCGGCCGCACCGGCTGCACCGCCGGTAGGTCCGTCACGGGTATGTTCTTAATATTCTTTAGATTGGGTTTTAGTAGTTAAATTATTTGGTTTATTTCTTTCACACTAGCTTACTCTTTTCTAGCCCGCTAACCCTTTTCTCTTTGTACTTTTCATTTTGCTCTGATTTTTATAATGTTAGATAAGGAAGCACAAATTTGTAATTTATTTTATTGTGTGGATCTAATAGCAGTGATTTCTGTCAGTCTCATGTTATATGTATCCAGTTCAGCATGTCCCCTGTCTCCAACAATGCCTGTAGCGTGTCTGCAGTCTTTGAGCAACTCCTGTTTCATGTCTTTAGTCTCTTAAAGCTTTCTGTAGCATTACATTCACTGAATATTATGTGCACAAGGCCACATTTGAGACCTTTATAATAAGAAAGTTGACCACCACTGGTCTATAGTATACATTTTTTTAACCAAGGCTGTTTATGAATGAACGGGGAATCTACATGGTATTAGACATTTATAGTGCAAAAATAACAAGCACTGCAGGCCTGTGTAATATCTTTTATTATGTCCCTCCAGGTATCATATGATATTGAGGGTTTCTGTGAGCGAAATCGGGATGTTTTATTCATAGACCTTATTGATTTGATGCAGAGCAGTGAGTAGTAAGTAGGCTATATTTTACCACCTATATATGCTTTTACTGTTCATACTTCAGGGCAGTATTTACTTTAAGCAATTAACACAATGCCAAAGACAATTAACCCAATGACAAAAGCAATAAGCAATGTATTTTTATTATTATTATTATATTTATGTGTGCAGGTCAGGTTTTGTTAGCCAAAGAACAATGCAATGCAACCTCGTTTATAGACTGATAATTAGGGTAGCTTAATTTCTTTTTTTAATTTACAGTTTTAGAATGTTGTGTTGAATTGTAGCTGCATACACAGTTATAGTTTGGGGTTGAACTTCCAGCTTCTATATTTTCTCCGTTTTTATTGCATTGTCTTGGACAATAGTGAACAGAACCTATGCCCTTGAACTATTACAACCTGAGTGTTTTAATTCCCCTTAGGTTTAACCTTTTTTTTTTTTACAAGCTGCAAAA